AAACAAAATATTAATAAAATGACTTCTAAATCAAATGGATAAAAAGGATTAGCAAAATATTAATAAAGAATTTTTTTAAAAAAGTAAATCTACGTTATCTCAAGACTCAAATCAAACGAAGTATGAATCATTAAAAAATAAGAACAAAATGAGTAATGCTATTTATCCCTATTGGGGATGAAAATACAGTTTACGTGACGTCAATGTGGCATTAAATGATAGGTGAAGTTAAATAAGTTATTCCATTTAACTTTTCATTTAAAGTCACATAAATTGTGTTTGCATCTCCACTAGAATGAATAACATTACTCGAACAAAATAGTCTATTTGTACAAAGTTTTTCCGTTCTCCTAACTAAAAATTTCTGCGTTCGACCTGCGTGTATTACCACGTTATTTACACGTCCTCGTGTGTCTATATATATATGTAGAGAGAGAGGCTGATCCTAGTCATTAGTGAAGACTCTTAATTGCTATAGTTTCTTTGTGTTCAAGAATTGGATTGAAAAGATGTCGGGCAATATACTGGTGACTGGGGGAGCAGGGTACATTGGGAGTCACACAGTGCTGCAATTGCTACTGGGCGGGTATAAGGCTGTGGTGGTTGACAATTTGGACAATTCTTCCGATATTGCCATCAAGAGAGTCCGGGAACTCGCCGGTGAATATGGCGCCAACCTGACCTTTCACCAGGTTACTTTTTTGGCTAATTGCCGCTTAAATTTTGTGCAAAAGTTTTCTAGGGGTTTTTTTATTTTAGGTTTGAGAATTGTGTTTTGGTGTAAAGTTCGATTTTTTACTTAATTGTGGGAATGATGAGATTTGTGCATTCATGGGGGTGATTTTTAGGTTTGATAGGTGTTTGATCTGTGTATGTAAATTTGTTTATCCATTTCATTTCCTAGTTTTCTTGATAATTGATCTGTGGAGTTGTTTTTAAGTGCAAAGGTTTCATTTTTAAGTGTATGTACTCCGCGGAGTGAAGAGTGTGATAGAAAAAGTAGGAAACTGGACGGGGAGGGAATCTTGTATTACCTGGATTTCTTATGACGTGTATTTTATTTCATTAGTGCTCGTAATTCTGCCTTTTTAGATCATTGCAAATATTTTTTGATTGTGAGGATTGCTGAGTTTGATGTTGATTTTTGGGTGTGATTGCAGTTGGATCTTCGTGATAAGCCCGCACTTGAAGAGCTTTTCGCTTCTCAAAAGTAAGTCTGTGTGGTGTTCTCTGTTGTGTGGATTATTCATTTTAACCCTCGAAACTAGTCTTTGTAGACTTGAGTTAGAAAGATTCCTGGATTGATATGTTCACTGGGTTCTTTTGAAAAACAGATATTATTGAGGAAAAGGAATGGTAAAATAGAACTGATTTTCTTCAGATTTTTCTTGAAGCTCTAATCGAAAAGGTTTTCAAATATAGCTAAAGATCAGTAGAAATTTAAGGCAAGACAATGGTTAAATTCTAAAGTTTTCTCATACTTGTTTTGCAGATTCAATTCCCTTTCTGTTATATAAGAAAACGGGTTTCTCCAACGATATCCTAGATTACAATTTAGGTGCATGTGCATATATTTTCTTTGAATTACTTCGGGATTCTTTTTGTTTTCTAGTATCTCTGAGAACATCCATTTTCGAACTTAGAAATTTATTCATGGCCTCCACTTTCTCGCTCAACAGTAATTGGATATGATCTCAGTCTAGGATGGAAAAGAATGCCTTTTCTATTCTCAGGGTTTTAATCATTATTGGAGAATGATTTTTGTTTATATTGGTCCCTCTTGCACCACTCTTGACATTTTCTTGTTGCCAATTTCACATTTAACATAGGTTTGATGCTGTTATTCATTTTGCTGGTTTAAAAGCTGTTGGAGAAAGTGTCCAGAAACCTTTGCTGTATTATAACAATAACCTCATTGGAACAATTGTTCTTCTAGAAGTTATGGCTGCACATGGATGTAAAAAGGTACTGATCTTCCCCGTCTGCTGTCTCTCATAATGTTTTTTTTTTCACTTGCATTTTCCTGGTCCTCACTGATTTCATTTATTGTTAACGTTGCAGCTTGTATTTTCGTCCTCAGCTACTGTTTATGGTTGGCCAAAAGTGGTGCCATGCACAGAAGAATTTCCTATAAGTGCTACGAATCCTTATGGACAAACAAAAGTATTCTTAGAATCATTTTACTTGAATGCTTTTCATAATGCAATTACTCTGAAAAGATAGATGATCCTTGCATGTAAACTATCAAGAAACAGAAACAGAATTTTTTTTATTCCTTCTCTTGAAATTATAAATGGGGACACATTAAGAGCCCGTTGGAATATGTGGAGCTTAATTATACTGATCTCTTATCCCCTTTTTCCCGGTTTGACCTAGCTATAGAGATATATTGAGCTTTCATATGTTTGTGTTACGTCGCCCTAGTTCGCACATTATGAAAAGAAAAACTTGAGGGGCTGTCTCTTCATTTATGAGAAAAAACAGAGAGGTGGCAAAGATGTGTGAGGAAAACCTTGTGATTTTCCTTCTTCGTTATAGTGAAAAATATATAGTGGCAAGTGAACATGGCTCTCACATTGTGAGTGAACCTACATTTTTGTGTTATGTTTCATTCATCATTTCTTTCAGGATTATTAGGGCTTAAAACCCTAACAGAGCCTACACTAGTGCCGTTTATAACCTCTCTATCTCTGTGTGTATGTTCCTCTTTTTCTTTTGTTTGGTTCCCTTGTGTGAGTTGCTATCAAATTTCTCTTACGGAAGTTCACCTAACAATATGGATTTTTCCAGCTTTTCATTGAAGAAATATGCCGAGATATCTTTAAGTCTGACTCTGAATGGAAAATTATATTGCTGAGGTACTTCAATCCAGTTGGTGCACATCCTAGTGGCTATATCGGTGAAGATCCACATGGAATTCCAAACAATCTCATGCCATTTGTGCAACAAGTAGCTGTTGGCAGGAGACCTGCACTGACAGTTTTTGGATCTGACTATGCAACGCAAGACGGCACAGGGGTAAGTGGTTTTTGTCAGAATTTGATGGTGATCATATTTGTAGTTGCTTATTTATCTGTTTACTCATTGTTAATGGCATTCAATTGCTGCCAATTTTCATACAGTTGGTAAACATGAACTTTAGTACATTCTGTGTGTGCCTATGCTCGTGAGCAACTATACACAATACGGTTAGTAAGTATAGTAATGCTAATAGCTTCCACCTGCCTCCATCATTTTGGCCAAAAAGAGAAAGAAAGTAAAGAAAATAATAGCATAATTAACGTTTCAGGATAGGTTGCTAATAGACTTTTGAGTCTAACGTCATCTTGGACTCCTTTTAGAAAGTGACAGAGGAGGAAAAAAAACTGCAGTTTGATTTCTTACTTGATGCACCAATACAGATTAATGGATTTTATGTTTCAGGTACGTGATTATATCCATGTTGTGGATTTAGCAGATGGCCATATTTCTGCTTTGAGCAAGTTATCTGATCCCTCTATAGGTACGGACTCAGAGAATGTAGATTTCTTCTTTATCTTTCTTATTTCATGAGACATTTCTGCCCAACAATCTTCTGTGACGTTGAATTTTCTTATATGAGTTCACTATGTGAGTTGATAAACTTTTTGTTGAATACCTTTTATTCATAGACTTATATTAGCTCTTTGACACCCGAGTATGACAGTGAGAATTGTTGCTTGAGATTTTTTATATTTTGGTTGGGAAATTGAGAAGGCGTTTGTAACGTTTGTCAAGGGGATTCGTACATTCAAAATCCAGTGCTAGACTTGTTTTAGTTTAGTTGTAATGTCTGCTACATTGTGTACTTCAATCAAGTTCATTTCCTGATTCAAGTTTCGAGAACCAGCTCCTGCCCATTATTCTCTCTATAAAATTGTATTGTTAAAAATATTTTATTTATGGTGATGTACATTAAACCTCAGTCAATAATCTGAGTAAACATCTTTGGGCTTGAGGCTTACACTAGAATATGAAGGAATGAGGATGCAGGTGATTACTGTAATTACAGTCACCGTCAAATAGGATTATGCTGTACAATTGCATCCTAGACAATGATTTCTCACAGTTCTTTGACAAATTTAGTGTTCCTTCTTACGGCTTTGTATTTGGCTTTGCTCTTAGTTTCTAGACCTTTAAATACTTCTTCATTACACCATGGTTCAGTTCCCCATGGGTGTTTCATTTAGAACTTAACAATAGACAGCTGTAATATACTTTAATAATTTGAAACTGTGTACAGTTACAATTTATTTGTCAGTCATAGACCGAGTCTCTGTTTGCAAGAGAGTGCAGTTTTGGCCCATACAGTGCAATGCATGGCCTCTTTTACAGTGATGGTTTGCTTCTATATTAGCTGCGAAGAAAACGAGGCTGCTCATGTCCTTGCAAAAAATGCTTGTTTCTGTTTTATAAAATCTGCTATTTTGCAAATAAGAAAATGTAGCTTGTTACCTTGACATCATTTTTTGTTTTGTTTTTTGAATTAATTTATCTACTCTTCTTGCTTTGTACCTAATGGTGGTTTTCCACTATGACTTCATTCCAACTATACGTGTCGACTGCAGGCTGTGAAGTATACAATCTGGGGACAGGGAAGGGTACGTCAGTCTTGGAAATGGTAGCTGCATTTGAGAAGGCATCTGGGAAGGTATAATCCTTGAATTATACTTTTTTGACCAAACATGTCGTAACAGTTGCTCTGCATGTGTTGGTTAGCATTTAATTATGCGTTGCTCGTCTCCAGTTCAGGTAATCTTAAATTTTTGTTCTGCTTCTCTAGAAAATCCCTCTGGTGATGGCTGGTCGACGACCTGGTGATGTTGAGGTTTTATATGGTTCAACGGAGAAAGCCGAACGCGAGTTGAATTGGAAGTAAGTATTGAACTCACTGCAACACAATTTTGAGATACCTACGTAAGGCTGAATTGTTACTTTTAAGCGTTCAGTACATAGCACTGAACAAGACTAGACAAAATCAAATAAAAGTTCATTTGGAAAGTGTTTATAAACGGTCTCTAATTATAAATAAATAGAAACTTGTGGATAAGTTGATAATACTTGTGGATCTCTCGAAACATGTGGATAAAAAGTTGAGTGTTTATATGGAGTCATGACTCGTGCCATACATAGGCTAAGCATAAAAAACTAAAATCTTGTTCATAGTAATGTCTAGTCCATCTAATACTACTTACCAAAATGCTGCAGTTCTCATAATATATAGATAACAATTTAGTAATGCTCTAGTCTTGGTGATGTAAAATTCACTGTATATATGTATACATATATTAAGTTTATATAAATATAATTAATTAATTATTTTAACCTCCAGTTCTATACCAGTTGAATGTAATGACACGTGCTCTACCACATTCACTTTCCTGACAGAATTCCTCATGTTTGCAGGGCAAAATATGGCATTGATGAGATGTGCCGAGATCAGTGGAACTGGGCCAGCAAGAACCCATATGGTTATAAGTCTCAGTTGTCTACTAATTAACTGAGGAACCATGTCCGAGTCCCTTAACTATGTCGTTTTCTGTTTGGTTGTCACCAGTCCTGCTGTTTTCATACGTCCAATGGCTGCTAAAATGCCACCTTTTGGACTTAAAATTCCTTTTAAGTGTTGAATTGGGTGGGCTTGGCTGAATTGGAATTTGGATTTTATCAATATGGAAATGTTCTACATAATCCAGGGAGAACTGTTAACTTGAATACAAGAGACTTCTTGTGAGAAGAACTAATAAATGAAAAGTAACTGGTTTCTTTTTTCATAATTTTCTTCGTTTTTTGCATAGCCTATTGCACATCTAAACGGTTCATCCATGTTTTGTCATTTAAGTTGTGAAAAATGGCTATGTGTAGACATGTTATTCTGTCCTTGGATAAGCAGGAAGCCTGGCTTTGTGGCGGGTGTGACATTTATGTTTGATGATGGGAGTGTACAAAACCAAGTTCTTGTTTGTGTACAATTATTTCAAAACTTTTTTTTTTT